GAGGTTTATGGTAACAGAGGGTTCAGTTTAGACAGGTTTAGGGTTACAGAGGGTTCAGTAAAGACAGGTTTAGGGTTACAGAGGGTTCAGTTTAGACAGGTTTATGGTAACAGAGGGTTCAGTTAGAACAGGTTTATGGTAACACAGGGTTAAGTTTAGACAGGTTTAGAAAGTGTATTAAAAGAGAAATATTTACTAGGTTAATTTTAGCAAATTTAAAGTTCCAAGAAAAGATTTATGAAGGAAACAATACATTCTACTTTTAAATTTGAATATCTACTGGGTTTTGATAATAATTAAACCCTATACAGTTGAACTGTACAACATACCGTGTTGACGTATCACCTTGGCCAAGCTGTCCATACTGTCCACTCCCAAACGCATACACATCCCCATTTTGCAAGAGAACCACAGTATGATGTAAACCACATGATATCTGAGTAGTAGCCACATCTCCTATTCCAATGAGTATTTTACTTGGTGGATGAGTGACCGTTTTACTCTGATCTTTATCATGATCTTTATTGTCATCACCACTAGCACTACCTTGGTCTGCATCTAATAACACTTTAAAACCATGAAGTTAGGAGTATGTGAACACGGATGCTGGATTGACTTGTATAATATAAAAAATAGACTTTGTATGAAGGGGAACGAAAAGTACTTTGAAGTTTTCCAAAATGCTTTCAGATACCCTCACTTTGATATAGGAAGTGTGTACTGCAGTATCAATAATCACATTGGAATCATCACAGCTAACAAGATGATGTGAACACTGACTGCAAAACTTCCAAATGATAACATTGCAATGAACCACTAAGGAATATTTTGTAGTTGTGCAAGTCTATGAATGGATTGACTTTGGGTTCTATAGACTGTTGCACTGTGACATCATTTTGCTAAGCACTACGTGAAAGTGCAACGACAAATGTCGCTCTCTGAACGTCATTGTTTTATCTTCAAGTGCAAACAATCAGTCACTGCGCACGCGCACAGAACGTAAACAAGTACAACAGTCTATAGAACAATGGCTTTTCTAGTTGTTGAGCTACACGTGAGATAAAGTGTCAATTATCCAAGCACAAAGAATATGATTTTAAGATTACAGCTTTGTAACCAAACAAGTTGCTAACATTCATATATCCACACTGAATTACAACACATCTTTTAATAGGCAACAATTTGTACAAAATTGCAGCAGAATTTAGACTGCAACCAGAAAAAATGAAACCCATATATTCATGGTTATATTTGCAAGAGTTTTAGACAAGGAAAAAAGATAATTGTGTTCCAAAAAAAAACTGAAACTTTTATTTTATGCAAATTAGTCTACTTTTATTTTTATGCAAATTAGCCCTATACACGGAAATTGATTTTGTTCATTTACATGTATTTCCTTTAATGTAGTAAATGACCAAAAAATCAAATGATAATGAAACAAGCCATGCATGGCACAGTCCCCGTTAGTTATCAAATTTAAGATATATAGTTTTGTTTATAGTAATATAGCTGGAATATAACCATGTCAGAAATATGATTTTTTAACATTAAAATGATTGACATTTGTATCTGATCGTCAAACAAGTACTTGTCCATATTGAGAGATATTGCTC